CCCAGCCGGTGGAAGCTCCTCAGCACCGCCATGGAGGTGCCGATGCTGTGGCCGCCCTCGATCCCGACCAGGCTGGCGATCACCCCGTCGCGGTGCGCGTTCTCCAGCTCGCCGCTCGTCGTCACCAGCCGCACGCGCTTGGGGTAGCGCGACGTCAACCGGCGCACGATGTCGATCTGCTCGAGGGTGAGCTGCACGGCGTCGAGGAACTGGGCCTCGCACGGCACGTAGGCCGACCAGAATTGCGCCCCGACGATCCCCTGCTCCAGACGGATCAGATCGGTCTGCCACTGCGGGCCCCAGCTGCTGTTGCGCGACAGGTTCTCGTCGAACGGGAAGTTGTCCAGCTTCGTGCTGCCGCGGTGCTTGCGCAGATTCCAGGCGAAGTCGTTGTGCCTGGCGGACGATTCGTGCGAGATTAATGCAAAATATATAATTCTGATAATATATATTTTTTTTCTTTTTTAAATAAAGATTTGGACAGATTGTAGTTTTTTTACTACTAAGCTTTGAATACCGAAGACTTAGACTTGATCTGAGATTTCAAATAATCGCGTTTATTTTTAGCGATCTATTTTAATTCAGAGTGGAATCTATTTTCCGCTAATTTATATATAAGATGCAACTGTTACCCATCGATCAGTGGAATCTCCGAGAGCATTCTCCGGACCACCTGCAATCTCGCTTCCAGCAGATGAGAGCTTCGAAGTTCCAAGGCGAGAGGCAGACCTACACCGGCCACTAAGGCACATCCGAGGAAGAAGAATCCAGTCATTACCATCCATCTTCTCACGGCACTGCCTCCTGCAACATTGCCCGGTATATCAAAATCCAAATATTTGCATCTTCGATTAAGTTGAAAGATCGTCCGATTCATAGATCTCTTACAGATTTTATCGACAAACAAATATATGTCCAACTATAAAATGTATATATATAGCTTTAGAAAGAGATATCTGAGAAATGCTTTGATTTTCAAGCGCTTCTAAGTTCTGGACCTTTGCGTTTTGCATCATTTTAAATATCTATTATATACTTATGTATATTAGATTCTATACATATTTTTGAAATATATATTTTAGATAAAAATATAATTTATATATTATATCTATAATTAAATATTTATATATTAAATATTTATATATTAAATATTTAATTACAGATAATTATATATAATATATTATCAATAATTAAATAAATATTTGTTACATAATCGGTATGCTAATACTTGTGTGCGCAATAAATAGGCAGTAGATTCAAAAGCAGCCTGTTGCGGAAACCAATCGGCGGGACGACCGCAGCGGAATCTTCTCGAATCGGGAAGATCAGCCGAGCGTAGATCGTATCTATCCGTACGTGAAATCGCCGTGACCGAAACTTCGATCTGCGATCGAGTGGATCGTCGAGCCGTGAATAGAAATCATATCAAATCGCGAGAGAGACCGTCGCTCGCCACGCTCGTCGTTTCTCGTCGTCCGCGCGACGGGCTTTTCTTCCCTTCGCTCGCGCAGGCTTTTACATAAGCGAGCTGATCGTTGACGTGCGAAATTGGAGAAAAGAAAGAAACTGTCGCGTTCGATCGTCGGAAACGACTGGGGATGATGGGATAATCGAGAAAGTGCTTTTAGCAATCGAGCGCGACGCGACGAATTAAATATCCGTGCTAATCTGATTTAACACTTTAGCGGTAATTATAATTGCTATCGGTGAGTATAATACAATAGGTATTCTCGCAAATCATATATTTAAATGTACCTGTATATAACGCTAGAAAAGAAAATCCATATCTCTCACCCATTTATTTTTATTAAGATAATAATCGTTCAGCTGATGCTTAATTCCTGGCTTGTTATGAAGTTAGTTAATTACTCAGATCAATTAATTACATTTTATACTTAATTCTTTTTATAAAATTCCCCATATAAGGCTCTCGTAATTTGAGAAATCACGAGTTCAATTTTTACATCAGCAGAATGCCTGCAGGTAAACCAAAACTTCGCGACGAGCCTCTCAGATATCTCAATCTTACCCCGTACGCGCGCAATAACGACTTTTACATGGACTCACTGCTCTCTCTTGGTGGTTCTTTGGCCTTGCTGAAGGAAGTCGAGACACCCGTGTCCTTGATGTGGTGAAGTGCATCGCCGTTGGGCAATTTTCTCATGAATTCCGGCGACGAGAGCTGCAGGCAGGTCTGCAAAAGCGCGCGAGTCTCGATTTACAAAGCTTGGCCGCGCTATAGGCCTCCGTCTCCGCGAGCAATCGCGTCTCCGTAAATTAAATCCTAAGATTGCGACGATTGCATAATCCCCGCCGTATTATCCGTGTTGCGCGAATCGTCGCGTTATACGCCGCCGCGCCACCGCGGCATATTAGCGGCTCGTAAGTTATGAAAGACGCGCGCGTATATAGTATACCGCGCGAGGAAAAAACACGTCCGCCTTGAGAGAGGAAATTAAATATAGGAAACCACTTTGCATGAAACATCCCTGGGAGACTTTTCGCAGACGATTGTAAAAATAACGCCGCCGCGTGGTGAATCAACATTTCGGAGAGCTCCGCGCGAATTATCCTCCTGTCGTTCCATCGGTCAAACTCATAGCACTTATCGTAAAGTCTGATTTTTAAAGTAGAAACTCGTCTCTCTCTCTCTCTCTCTCTCTCTCTCTTTCTCTCTCTCTTTCTCTTTCTTGAGTAGTTGGAAATATTTTTGGATCTTTATCTTTAAACGTGACAAAATGTTTTGAAAACATGAAGTACATGTTCTAATCGGATTTTTTTGCTTATGAAAAAGAAACATTCATAAATGAAAAACATTGATTAAATTATTAAAATAAAAAAAATAAAAAATGTATAATATAATATAATTTATATAATAATATGTAACTGTATGCATTGCATGTATATAATTTCCAAGTCACATGGCATTATACAAGGGATTAATATAAGAAGTAATTCTATATTGTATTCCAACTTTTCGCATCGTGTCGAGAAATAAAATAAATAAAATATCCCAGAGGTGTTATAATCGAGCACGATAGTTGATCTGTCTTGCTCCAGAGAAAAAGTGAAGCTAAGGGCGACACGCGTGTATGTGTGTGTATACGTGTGTGTGCGTGGCCAGCTCAGTCATCAATTATAGGAGGTAAATAATATTTCAGCGGATGCTCTCTGGGGGTCCCGCGGACCCGTAGACAGGTCAATTAGGAGCTAGCTCTCTCTCTCTCTTCGACGCAATTAAACAAGGGATCTTTAGCCGAGAGGGCTCGCGTCGTCCTGTGTACCTACCTCCGAAAGGATGTCGACTTCTTTTCTCCTGGGGGGCGGCGAGTGATACACCATGCCATCCTTACCGACACCGTAGAGCTCGAACATCTTTCTCACCCCGACTCACGTTCTGCCGACGAACCGCTCTTTACCCCTGCGCCAGGATTTTTGCTGGTTACCGCCGCTATCGTAAATATACAGTAGAAACGGCGTCCCGACGCGGCGGCGTCTCGGGCGTCGGCGCACGCGTCAACCCCCATATCGACCCGGCGCCTCTCTCTTGCGCGAGTCCGAAAAATTATTAACAATCGCGTCGGGGTGTTCGCATATACCTATGCCAGAGAGAATGTTGCTCCGTTGACTCTCCGCAACGCCACGTGACTCGGAAGTTACGTCAAAGTAAAAAATGTATTTGTACTTCTTCAGTCTCGCGATCGATGATTTAATCAACGTTCTCCGTTTCACCGGTTGTGTAATTTTCTTTTTATGAGCGAGTTCAGTTGTAAAGAGATGAAATTTACGACATGGCAGCGGATTCATATATATTTAAAATAGAGAAGATTGAAATGGACCACGAAGAATGGTCTCCGAGTTTATTACCTCAGCTAAAACTGATATCTTTCACAGAATGTATATGTGTCAACTTCAATTATATATGGGCCACGGAAAATCGTGATTTTTTAAAATCAATTTCTTCAGCATCCCTATAATTCTCTGATTCTTACGATACACTATGATTAATCAACTTGTCGAGTAATGCCATTTATTATTAATATGGATTATACGGATAGAACTGTTTTTCTATAGTTTGATGAAAGAAAAATTGGATTATAGAGACAAATATATAGACTTAAAAATTTAATTTTGAACAATTCTACCAATTGAATCGGTCGGAATTTGATCAGAGTCTCTTTATTTAAAAACGAATTAATCGACTAACATCAATGTCATGTTGTTAAGAATTTTAAAGGATAAACACACACACATGATCGAAAAATAAAATATAATATATGATAACATCAGGGAGAACTTACATCTAAAATACAAGATTGAGTGGGGAAGCTGAGCTTATGGGGTGCAGCTACAATTAATATCTCTGAAATCTGAGAATGTTGTGTGAGCTTCAATTATGCCTATATATATATAGTAGCACAAACTTGGCGAATTTATTGACGTAATATTGGACCAATGTTATTACCAATATAAATACGATTGGAAATACATTGGTATTATCAATATTGCGCCAATCAATTTGCTAATATTATTGCGCTACTAGGGATACGGGTTACGAAAAATTTCGTATCTTGTATTTTATTATAAGTTCTCCCTGATGTTATCATATCATATTATATTTTATTTTTCGATCATGTGTGTGTTTATCCTTCAAAATTCTTAACATGGCATTGATATGTTAGTCGATTAATTTCTTTTTAAATAAAGAGACCCTGATCAAATTCCGACTGATTCGACTGGTAGAATCGCTCAAAGTTAAACTTTTAAGTCTATAATTTGTCTCTATAATCCAATTTTCCTTTCATCAAACTCATCATTTATTGATATCGATTTGCGTTCTCCCATCCCTAAAATAAACTGTCATCCATCTTCCCGCGCTCGGTTCGCGCGACCATCGGCGAGAGCCCGTCCGAATGGGAACGGTGCTGCCATCCGGAGACGGGATCCCGCAGCCGCGGCGCCAGTGCGAGTGTCGCGATAATAAAGGGAGCGCGTTCCTCCTCCCTCCTCTCTTACCGACCGCCATATTGTTTGCGATACTTCGGTGTGCACGTCGGTGTGTTCCTCGCCGTCCTCGCCAGCAGCGTGTGTCGCCCGCGTAACGGACGCTCTCTTCCCCGCGGATCGTGTCACGGAAAATCGGCAAACATTTCGCGTAAAGGACAAGATAGCATGAAGAAGATTAAGGATTACTCGGACGAGGACGATTACGAGGTGGACAATCCGGACTATCCGGAGGTCGAGGGCACCTCCGAGGAGGAATGGACCCCGGAGCCCGGAACTGAGGTAAGTCGACACGCCGCCGCGCGTTCTCTCGTCGCCGATTTTTTTCCCTTATCCCGTCACGCCCGCGGACGGTCGATTCTCCGTCGTCGCGACGTTGGCGTCGTTCGCGTGATAAAGGGCGTCTAAGAGAGAGAGAGAGAGAGAGGGCTCGAGAGAGACTGAAAAGAGAGAAGAGGAAAGGGTAAAACGAGCACGGCCGACCCACGCCGCTCGCCGATGCTCGGCGGCGGACATTTCGTGAACTTGGATGCGCCAACGACGAGGACGTCCGTCGCGGAGTCCACGCCTCTCGCGGTCGATCCTCGGCGAATCGGACGCGCCCAGGTAAAACGGCATCCGTGTTCCGTGACCGTAACGGAACGGTGGCGAGACGCGCGTCGTCGGCGGCGGCGGCGCGGCTGAGACGGCGTGGCCGTCGGCTGCTTCCCCTTCGCGCTGCTCGCCCCATCGCGGAGGTGAAGCGCGCTGCTCGAGATAAGATCCCCGCGACTCAACGAGCGCGGTCGCGAGGCCGCGCCGCGCGGATTCCCGTGCGGCGACCCGGTCGCGCTGTCCCGACGTATCTTTCGAGATAGGGCCGCTCGTTCCAGCGCGGTTCCCTCTCGTCTCACGTCGTCCCGCGGCGGCCATCGTCGCCGGCCGGTTGGTCGCTCGGCCGGCTGCTCCGGTGGCGCCGCGCCGGTCCGCGATCTCTCGAATCGCCGGAAGAGAGTATTACATGACACCTTGACTGCCTAATTGCTTAAACTCTTGAAGCGAAATTTCTAAATATAATACAGTTTATTGCTTTTAATTTTATTTTCACGTCGAATAATAGAAAATTAATTTTATTTATTAAAATGCAGGTGCTGGACTATTTGACAAGTTAATTAGTGATTAATCAAATTCACCTTATAAAACCTATATTGGAACGGAATTTATAAATGTAATACAATTTATTGTTTTCAATTTTATTTTTATGTCGAATAGTAGAAAATTAATTTTATTTATTAAAATGCAGGTGCTGGACTATTTGACAAGTTAATCAGTGTTTAATCAAATTCACCTTATAAAACCTATAACCTTGGAACGGAATTTATAAATGTAATACAATTTATCGTTTTCAATTTTATTTTTATGTCGAATAGTAGAAAATTAATTTTATTTATTAAAATGCAGGTGCTGGACTATTTGACAAGTTAATCAGTGTTTAATCAAATTCACCTTATAAAACCTATAACCTTGGAACGGAATTTATAAATGTAATACAATTTATCGTTTTCAATTTTATTTTTATGTCGAATAGTAGAAAATTAATTTTATTTATTAAAATGTAGGTGCTGGACTATTTGACAAGTTAATCGGTGTTTAATCAAATTTACCTTATAAAACCTGTATCGAAACGGAATTTCTAAATATAATAGATTTTATTGTTTCCAATTTTTTTCCATGTTGAACAAAAGAAAATAATTCTATCTAAATAGTACAGGTATTACTTGGTACAAGTTGATCGATGTTTATCACAAAATCATCCTAAGAAAAACTGTATCAGAATGGATACTTTTCAAAATACTTTCTTATTAATTAGATGTAGTCTTGTCACTTTAGTGAGCTAGAGGATGTTCTATGAGTGGAACTTCCATGAAGTCCTGCGCTTCAGGCTGAGATTGTGTATTTTTCTATTAACAATACCAGGAAGTCTAATGAATTCTGTAGTACACATTTGTCTTAATAGGAGTATGATGATGGAGTATGATTAAAAGTATGCGGCAGAGATAGAAAAGAGATAGATTGTCTAACGACTCTAATGTTACTCGTGTGATTTTCTTTACAGGCTGGCACTAAAATAAGGCCACAGAGAGGACCGAAAAAGCGACAGCATTCTGAAGAGGAGGACGAAGAGGAGGAGGAAGAGTTCGAGGAGGAAGAGGACGAAGAGGACGAAGAATCTGATTCTGATGGAGGAAAAAAGTCAAAGAGGAAAAGGCGTTCCAAGAAGGACGATGACGACAAGGAGGACGAGGAAGACGACGATTCCGACGACAACAGTTTCAATGAATCCGGAGACCCCCCAAAGGAATACACAGTAAGTTCATCGGGCTCATGATTCGTATCGCAGAGTTGTAATGAATTCTAAAATGTGGTCTCTGTATCGTTGATGTGTCTCTTGCAGTCTGGTTCGTTCGTTCTTGCAAAAGCCGACCTTGAATCTAATAAGAATAAGGAAGATAACTTATCCAGTAAGGGTAAATCCGACGTCGAGTCGAGCACTCATCCAACCTTGTGGAGGATAGATGGGAAAGCGTTGCTCCAAAAGTTTCTGCCGTTCGAGGAAGATGGAAAATTATTGTACAAAAGCACAACGACGGTAAGTGCATTATTTATTTTTTCTTTCTCAGAAAATGTATTCTAGCATTCGCCAAACTGATCTGTAATTCAGTTGCGTCAGTTGATGTTAGATAAAAAGATACCTAAAAAATAAGCTGATTTTTCGTATAAATCTATCTCTCTACATTTGTGAATTTATAAAAATGGCATTCTTCACATTCTTTTTTCCAGTATTCTGGTTGGCAACAGAGTAACAAAGACAATTACATAGCCGTACAGGTATCCTTTAAAGTGCAAAGTAGACAAGAGACAATTGTTGAGCTTCATTATGATCCATCGCAACCACAAGAAGTTGTGAAGTACGTAGTTTGCATCGCGATTCACAATGTTGCAATATTTAATGTGGTTAATGCACTAACGAATTTCTCTTTATCAATTTCAGAGATGATAAAGAAGACTAAATTAGATCGAGAGTTTGCCCCTGTTTGTTCATATACGTCTTAAGGAAAAACATATGTTGTGTAAGGAAAGAGGGGAAAGGAGAAACATCCACGTCTACATGTACACTACCCACGAAACATATTTACAATGTACACATACACACGGAGGACGAAGTTTGTGACATGGTACTTGTAGCAGGTTCATATTTAAAATATAAGATTGGATGGACCATGAGGCTCTTTGAGTTTATTACTGGGGGTACACACGGCTTCAGCTCTATCGATATCTCCCGACAGGAATATAGCGTGTGAGCTTCAATTACCAAGAGAGCTATAGAGCTCGCAGGCATGCATCGTATTTACGGAGTTTAGTAAAGCGTAACACACACACACATACACATACACACATACGAATGATTTGAGAAATGTTTTATGTCTTCGACAGAAAATTCAATGTTACCCTAGCGTAAAAGAAGGATGCATGTTGGTGTTCGATTTTTCTTTTTACGATATCACTGTTAGTCTGTTCGTGAAGTTAAACTCTCTATTTTGCAGAGCATTGGCCTTTGTCACCCTACGCGGTTATTTCAGGCGCGCCCGTAGTAGTCAAAAACAAATCCGTCACTCTAGCATTACAGCAAGAAGAGAGAGAGAGAGACAATTTTACATTTTGAATGGAAAGAAACGGTGTGAAAAGAGGGACAATCTCACAGTTGAATGCAAAGAAACGGCGTGAAAAATTAAGTTACATTGTTTAATTATAAACATAACTGTAGTACGTATTTTCGTTCGAATTAGATTTAGAGGAAACTAAGAAAAAAAGACTAGTTAATATCCAAAGATAGAAAGAATAAGGAACTTCGCGGGAAACCTTTCTTAACGGTTTCCCATAGCTGCTACGGGCGACGCCGGGCCAGTTTCTTGTGTGTCGCTTAATCATAAGATGTAACAAAAACTAGCAAACACTTCCAGTAATCGACAACCTGCATTCGTATATTTTATCGGAACTTGTAAAGGGGATCAGTTGTACAAAGAGTTAACTTATATATTATTGATGTATTTTCGTCTTGTTATTAAGACTAATTCGATCTCGTGGTAAAAATCTACGAAAATCCTGGCGTTACCTACCTTTGCGTTACTTCGCACGTCGATTTCTACGATACGTATAGACTCGCGATTATTTATCACAAGTAAGAATACATTTGAAGTGGGTACTTTGATAGTTTTGTAGTATAAAGTTTGTTTGTTTTTACGAAGTGTTGTAAACGGTACATTTAGCAGCATGTTTAGCTGATACAATTCGATAGATGGCGAATAATATTATGCGGATTGATACGCGTTGAAAAAAGAAAAGGAAGATACAAAACTCAATTGCGGTAAATATTTATTGAGTTCTCTCCACAATTGTACATTGTATCTTAAGAACTACCGGCGTTTCTATTCTGTTTATAATTATATAATTACTTTCCGCGTACTTTACATAAGTAATACGTATCTTGGTAGGATTTCATCGTTTGATATTGTGTAAGAGGTCAGAAAATATATCATAGATAGACTGATTTATCATGTAAAAGTGGATGTTCATTATGGAAAAATCTTACGTAAATGTTAACGTTCCAAAGTTTTGGATTTGTATTGATTATTTTTTTTTTTTAGAGCAATCTTGTATTTCTGTACTATAATTTTACTATATCAGTGACAAAATAAAAAGAATTTTTCTTTATTAAGCGATGATGTTTATGACTTAAGGAAAATTAAAAATCCGCACACACATTTAGTAATATCAAATAAACTTCCAATTGATGTTAGCGTTTTAAGCATTAAGTAAAAAAAAAATGGACAGACTTATATATACATTTCGTAACAATATATATATTAATTTAATGTATTCAACATCTTTTCTCCCCCTTTCTCAAATATATATAACTTTGATAGATAATGGCGTTCCGTTAATATCAAATAATTCGCGTTTGATTGATCTCGATTGATAGAACGAACATATCGCATTATTTGCTTTCGTTTTGGAATCAAATCATCCCACTTTAAATTTCATTCAGTTTATTAAATCGCAGATTTCTCTTATAGTATATAGTATATTGGCTACTGATCCCGCTGTTAGATTAAAGCTAAATAATATTGTCTATATCTATAAATATCTATCAATGTGATATGTGGAAATGTAGCATTATTCCAATATGGCAGCATAAATTAACTCTCAATAATTTATACTCGACTGATATTGAGTAACAGTTTTGTGAAATTCCTGGGGAACACGTTATCTTGATTATAAATATCAGGAAGAGGCAGAGGATTAAGAATTAATAGTTAAACATGTTATCACCGTGCCGACAGTATTATAGAAGACTAGATCTCAAGTTCTTTCTGCATACAGTATGGAATGACCAGCATTTCAAGCTTACTGTAAATATTATTTAAAAAGAGTGATGAAAGTATCAAACTTTCATTACAGCTCTGATTGGGCATTCTCGGCTTGTAGTTAATCTTCCTTTCGTGCGCATATATATTATGTATATGTTTATAAAAATATTAAATAAATTATACAGAAAAATTCTATCAAACGTGAACAAGGCACAACTATGATACTCTTTTTTTTTTTCAACTGTGAGCTAGAGATATTTCAATTAACAAATTTAATTACAAGGTAACAAAGGTTAATTCAGTATTTCAAACTTAACAAGTATATACTACTATACTCGGAAGTATGGTAGCGGGAAACGGGAATGTATATGCGATTTACAATACAAATAATAATGTAACGATTAGAATAGGAGATAGATACAGAAAGATAGAAAAGACGAAATAATGTAAGAGCCAGTAGTCTCAAGTAACTTATTTAAAATAAAATTCACGAAAACATTTAGTAAATGGATCTCACAGGATTCTTAAAGTTTTAGTTACCTCAGATATCGATTATAAAATCTTTTCTTCTCGATCCCAAAATATCATCCATATGTTTAAACTGACATATCTCAATTAAAACTTACATTTATCTTAATCACATCATGTACACCTACGTCAATATTAACGAAGTATTGTAATGATAAATCTGTTGCATTTCTTTCTTGGTCGTGTGCCAATACCTAATATTAAATAAAATCAAAATATAGTATAAGATTTTTATGTTTAATTATAACTTTCTTTAGGTAAATGTAAAAAAATATACGAGTTATATAAATATAAATCGAAATATATGAAAAGATTTATATTAATAATTTCACGAATTTATAAGCATGCAAAAATAATCGAACGTTATCATATTTGTATTTTTTTTTCATAGTTTCAGATAAAAAAAGAAATGCTGCGGGATCGTTCTTAGACGTTACATTATAGAAATAGCTTTCGCTAGTGTCTTACAAAAAACGTGAACTTCGAAAATATTTGACTTCTGAAATAGAAGAATAGATTAGATCACGAAGTGTCGAATGGAAGGTCCCAAAGTTACTACAAGGTACTATAATTCTCTCTAACACACATTCACCCTATCACAAGATGGCTAGTATTTACTCTCGCCAAAACTGGCAACTATACTCTAGCAATCGTAAAATCCCATATCTAATCGCATATCTAAAATCCCGGTTCCATCCTGACCGACAACACGTTGCTCAGCATATCACGAATCTCCGCCACCTCTCTTCTACTTCTCGCCAGCATATCCTCCAATCTCTTATTCTCCTGCATGATCTTCTCCATCTTTTTCCGATACTTCCGTTTGCTGGCGTGACAACAGCAGTCCGGACAGTTTTTACCGTGCTTACAATCCTTACACACCTTACCTTTGTAACAACAAGCCTGATAATCGTCCGTGCAAGAGTGATCGCTCGACGCCGAATCTTCCTGCGCGGTGTCGAAGCCCTCCAATCTGTCGACGGACTCGCTGACGTTCGACGGCGGAGGCATGCAGCTGGATTTACCAAACGAAGACTCCGTGTCGGCCCTCAACTCCCGATTGTCCTTGTCGTCGGTCGACTCGAACGGTTTCGGCACATTTAATTGTGAACTATCAGTTACGTCGCTCGACACCTCGTTATCTACATTAGGTTCTATTATTACTATACTCGGTATGCTAGACCTAGTAGGACTTTGATCGCAATAGTGCATTGCGGTTGTATCACATACTCTAGACTGTCTTTTGAGACTCCTTCTCTTTTGCATTAACGCGTACCCCTCGCTTTGACGCTCGGCAATGCGCATCGCGCCGTCGCTGAATCGCCTACCGTAAAACGGTTTGCTCGTTAAGGATTTGGCGTCGCACGAGCCGTCGCTGGCCCGTCGAGCATCGGAGAGCTCGCCGATGGTTTCGCCTAATTCATTACGTTCTCGTTCCCTATCGTCTACATTTGTGCCACTTTGAGCAACGTTCAAGCTACGTGGGATCTCCCGATCATCTTTCGAAAATTGGTCAGTTTCGGAAAATTCGCCAGCATCGTCGTCGAACGACAATTGTTTCGCCAGCTTCTTGTCGTACTTCGAGAGATATCGGTGATCGAACGTTACACTGTTCTCCGGGGACGGTTGCTTCAATTCTACGGATTCGCCGGCATCCGACGAGCTATTGTGATCATTTACTGTATCGCGCGTGATGAGCTCCGTGTCATCGGTAGATATCTCGATTAAATTTCCGTCGCGTCCGAAAGCGAATGATTTCTGCCCTGCGAGAGAGAGAAAAGAAACGTTTCGTTCGTTTTACGTAACAGTGAAACAAAAAAATGAATGTCAATATATTGATATTATTCGCATATTCAGATCTCTCGGTTACCTATGATCATACGCTTGTTGCGCATATCGGGACTCTTGGAACGCGGCTGTTCCAGGAACTGCCTGTTATCGGGGGACAGCACAGAGAGCTTTCCATTCTGAGGCAATAAATTGTACTGGTCGCAGAGGTACAAGCTCGCGTCCACTTCGTGGCTCTCGTGCTCCCGCAAACGTTCCTTAATCTTCTGCACAATTTCCGATGGGGCTATAAACGGCGATCCTTTGAAAAAATGCAGAAAAAAAGGAATATAAGTTATATCCTATGTATATTCATTACGGGCCAACAATATTAATTGCCACAGAACTAAATACGATGCATAAGATGCATAAAATGAAAAAATAAAATAATACACGTGTACACTGACAAAAAAAAAACCGATATAAGACACGTGCATAAATTCCATTTATCAGCAGCGTAATTGAATATTTTTAAAATAGGTTATTGCACGCGATTTAAAAAATTGAATGCTACTTTACCATACAAGTGACGTTAGGGAACATATTATGGACCTTTCGCTAACAGTTTGCGCTTTAAATTTGTATTCCTAATGCATTAGTACACATTATTGCATACCTTACTATTATTCATGCATTAATTCCAAATCTCAGAACACACGTAATTAATCGCATGTCTACAAACGAATAAAATCTATTTCCGTGCGTATATTATTATTCAGCGTTTCGAAAATAGAAGCATAATATCTTTACAACGTAAAAAATACAAAAGAAATGACAAATTTCTACATGAAAATAGCACAAACATCGTATATCGATTGACTTTATGCATAAAATCAAAACCAATATAAGCAGAAAGCTAATAAAAATGCTTACTAAAATAAAAAATCATAATACAAATAAAAGAGAGCAGCTATGCACTTCTAGACAAGTTCAAATAAATTGATTTTAAAGATACATCAAAACAGTCCCGACCACAAATTCTCACGCGAGACTTACAAAGTTACTTGATCCGGAGTTTCTGCGCTGTCGGACACGTGTAGGTACGCTTAACGTGTTATCGCTTCCTACAAAATTATCATACATGTGGCAAAACGTTTGCGGATATATTCTACATCCAGAAATATAGATTTAATAATCATCAGCTTCATAAAAATGCTGTCGTTAATTCGTTTGATGGTAATACTAAAGTCATAAATGTTATGATTAAAAGTTTCTTATTTTTCACACACAGATTCCGAGAGTGACGAATTCCAGAGTTATCTCTACGTCTATTGCTTCCGAAAAGAAGTTGAATAATCGCTATAATTATTACTATTGAAAAATCCATTTTACCCGTCAGGCCTCTATATCCTAAAGACACCGAATCGAAGGATTCGGTGGTCTCCTGTTGCTGCTTGAGAAACTCGTCTACGTCGATGCCCCGCAACGACGACGGCTGTAGGAACCTTCTAGGAATGCGAGAAATTGTACCGTTCTCCTGCGGACTGCTCGATGAGCCGCCGAAGCCGAGATCGAGCAGAATCGCTGCCGGATCCGCCTTTCGCAATTCTAACAGACTCTCGACGCTGCTGCAGTGACTGCTGTCCGACTGAAAGCTCGCGTCTCGCGACGCCAGTCTCTGATGGGGAAGCGAACTGCGAAAGATTCAAACGGATATTTAGTGATTCAGTGCCAATTGTTGTAACTAACGCGTGCTGATCGTGAATATCCCTTTAATAATACCTTGGTAATACCGGTGTATTCATCGCTGGAGAATTAGGAACATTAATAGGCGCCGATACGGTCATGCTTGGGGGCTGCAAGTCCTTAGAAAACGGAATCTCCTTAGGCTCGGTTGGTGTCAACGGTTTCTGCCCATGGCTACGTTCTCGGCACTCGCTCGCAATGACAATGTCCGACCTCGCGGACGGCGGTATGGAGTCAATCCATTGTTGAACCGGTCCGCCGGCGCGCCGTCTCATTTCCCAAATTCCACGCAACCAATCTGTCACTTTCAGGAGAGTCTCCTTGCCCACATTCTCTAAGGAAGCATACAAGATGTCCATAAAACCATTCGGCGTGTCGATCGTATGTTAATTAATGAAATAATACATATAAAAAGAAAATAAATTAATAAATAACGATTAAATAGAAAGTTTGTGCCACTATGATTAAATTCTAAATTCTAAAAACAATATATATATATATATATATATATATATATGCAGTATTCAAGGTTAGATATATTGTCATAGCATCTATTTTTACGGAGTTTTTATTGAGTCGTCTTGTCAAAGCTGTCAATTAAAATGAGAGAGAAGAAAACAGCAGGGAGATATGGAGAGATTGGTTCGAATGAGCAAGCTCTTTATTGTTAATCAGTTTGTAGCCGATTACTAAGCGAACCGTGTCAACTGAGTCAACTCGCGAGGAATGTGTCTTTCGAGCGGATAAATATATAACATTCTCTTACTTTTCGCAATCATTTCGTACTACTTC